CTGGAATTTGGCTACAATATTCCTAGGAGTTTTCCTCTGGGGATCTCTTTCAGGAGGTGATCAGTGGATTCTTTCAATTTTTATTTTGCCCTCTGGTTCTAAAATATCAGGGTAGTTTTCCTTGATAATTTCATGAAAGATGATGTTTAGGGTCTTTTTTTGATCATGGCTTTCAGATAGTCCAATAATTTTAAAATTCTCTCTCCTGTATCTATTTTCCAGGTCAGTTGTTTTTCCAATGAGATATTTCACTTTGTTTTCTTTTTTTTTTTCATTCTTTTGGATGTGTTTTACAGTGTCTTGATTTCTCATAAAGTAACTAGCTTCCAATTGCTCTATTCTAATTTTTAAGGAAGTATTTTCTTCAGTAATCTTTTGGACTTCCTTTTCCATTTGGCCAATTTTGCTTTTTTAGGACATTCTTCTCCTCACTGACTTTTTGGACCTCTTTTGCCATTTGGGTTAGGCTATTTTTTAAGGTGTTATTTTCTTCAGTATTTTTTTGGGTTTCTTTTAGCAAGCTGTTGACTTGTTTTTCATGATTTTCTTGCATCACTCTCATTTCCCTTCCCAATTTTTCCTCTACTTCTCTTACTTGTTTCTCAAACTCCTTTTTGAACTCTTCCATGGCCTGGGACTGATTCATACTTTTCTTGGAGGCTTTGGATGTAGGAGCGTTGACTTTGTTGTCTTCTTCTGCTTGTATGTTTTGATCTTCTTTGTTACCAAAGAAAGATTCTATAGTCTGAGTTTTTTTGGACCTTTGTTTATTCATGATCCCAGCCAATTACTTGAGTTTTAAACTCTTTGCTAAGGTAGAGGTCTGCTTCCAGTGTGGAGAATGTACTGTCTCAAGCTTCAGGTGTTTTCTGCAGCTGTTTTCAGAGATGCTTCTAGGGACCAGTAAATTTTCAGTTCTTCTAAGGTGGAATGATAAGGGGCAAAGTGTTTACTCCTTTCCTGGCCTGTTCTTTTGTCTGTGAGTGACCACAAGCACTCTTTTCTGCCTTGGAACTGTGAGGACGATTTCCTCTCCACAGCCACTACAAGCTCCACCACGCCAGCACTCCTCCTCGCCCCAGGATCACCACCCAGAACTGTGACCCAGATCCAAGCACAGGCAAAGCAAGAGAATCCTGCACCAGCAGAGAGATCTCTGCAATCCACCTCTGATCAGCCACTTGATTCCCCCTCAGTCTGTGGGCTAGAAGCTCAGGAAGCAGCCATGGCCCCAGAGCTCCAAGTTCAGGAACTGGGGCTGATACTGCATTTCTCTCTCACCTAAGTCACAGACTTTTCCCACTGACCTTCTAAGTTGTCTTTCATGTTCGTGGGTTGAGAAGTCTAGAAACTGCCACAGCTGCCCATGATTCAGTCCTCTGAGGCCTGCTCCAGGTTCCCTGAGACCTGCACGGCCATGCCAAACTATATTCCTCTCTCGGCCTGGCGCAATATAACTTTCTGATCAACCATCGAGGTTGTCTTGGGCTGGAAATTTGTTTCACTCTGTCTTTTTGTGGGTTCTGCTGCTTTAGAATTTGTTGAGAGCCATTTTCTGCAGGTATTTGGCGAGGTTTGGGGGAAAGCTCAATCAAGTCACTGCTTTTACTCTGCCATCTTGGCTCCCTGAAATTCTTCTTTTGAGAACTGTTTATATCTTTTCACTCTTTTCCTTGGATCTACTCTATTAACAGAACTGAGGGATGTGTTCTTTAACTGTGATAGTGTGGTACCAGTCTTTACTGTGGGGTTTGACAAGAGTTTTGTTGCCTTTCCACATTGACACTGTTACAGCCATAATCTATCTTGTTCTTTTGGGTCAACTTTCTTCATTCTGTCCCAGTTCAGAAAGGGTTCCTATAGCTTTCAGAATTCTTCATATTCATCATTCCTTGTAGCACAAAAATTTCCATTTCATTAACATAGCCTCGATCGTTTCACTACCCCCTAATAACTGAGCACATACTTTGTTTCTAGCATTTGGCTGTCACAGATGCTGCTGCTGTGAGCATTTTTGTACATGAGAGTTTTTACTTGCCGTCAATAACCACCTTTGCATGTGGTCCCAGTAGTGGACTCATTGGGCAAAGGTAACAACTTAATAATCTTTACATAATTTCAAATTGTTGTGTTTTCTTTGTTTTTCAGGACTGGTGATAGAATTCATAGCTCTGGTAGTAAATTAGCACTCCTGAATTACAGCAGCTGCTCCAGCAATGAGTTTTTCTATCTTTTAGATTTTTTACTAGCTTGATGGGTTGAAATGGGATCTCAGGGTGGTCTTAACTTTCAGGTCTCTAATTATTAGTGATTTTGAACATTTTTTCAAGTGGTTTATATGTCTTATTTTGAAGACTTCATATCTTTTTAGAAGTATCTTACTTCCATATCTTTTTAGAAGTATCTTACTTCGTCTTGTATCTTTGCCACATATTAGGAGAATCGAGTTATTTATGATCAAGTTGATGCTTTGTTTATCTGAACTCCCTACTTCAGGGGAGTAGAGGGGTTCAATGTATTTGCCATGTAGGACAAACCTGAAGAAGGAAGGAACAGTACATGTTGATAGGGACAAAAATGTGGAAAGGTGTATTGGGGGACGTATTCTGCAAAGCATTCAAACCCTCTTTTCCAATATTTTTGGTGCAGAAAATAATAGAACAATAGAGGATTAAGGGAGTAGGAAGATGTTCTTGGTGTTTTAAGGCTGGGGAACAATCAGTGGATAAATCAGGAGCTGATCTAGTAATCTCAGAATCAATCAACAAGCATTTGTTGAACCCCTATTATATAGCTGGAGCTATTATGCTAAGTGTTAGGGATATAAAGGCAAAAATTGAAATTGTCCCTGACTTCAGTGAGCTTACGGTCTATTGAGAAGTAAAATAGCATGAGAGCAGAGGATAGCATGTGTTTTTTTCAAAGAATTAAATACAATGCAGACTAAACTTTGTAAACTAAGGTATGTGTAGAATAAATATAAGTGTAGCGGAAAGAGCCCTGAACTTGTAATCAGAGAATTTGGGTTCAAATCCTGGTTCTGCTATTTATTAAGGAGTATGATCTTGGACAAGTCACAGTTTCCTCACCCATAAAGTGGGAGGATTGGACTAGATCAGGGATTTTTAAGTTAAGATCTATAGGGATTGTGAATAGTTTTCAAGGAATCTGTAAACCTAGATGAGGAAAAAATACATCTTTATTTTTACTAACTTCTAACTGTCCTTCAATTATGAATTTAGGCCAAAAATATTATTCTGAGCATAGGCTTCAACAGACTGCCAGAGGGGTCCATGGCACACAAAAGGTTCAGCAGTCCTGGACTAGATAATCTCTTAGGTCATTTCCTCCTCAAAATTTATGATCATGTGATCCTAAATTCTCATTCTTTTTTTCCTCATAATATGATCTTTCTTTGTGACAAGGTATTAAGTTTATTTTTGAAGTTCCTCTTTCCCATTCTTTCTTTTCTTCCCCCCTGCCTCCCTTCTTTAATATTGAAGTCAAACCAAAAGTACTTGGCAGGATTACTACTGAAGAGTCTGCCTATCCCTTAGTATCTGGAGGGATTTTTTTTTTGGCTTGACTATGGGGTTAAATGACTTGCCCAGGGTCACATAGCTAGTAAGTGTCAAGTGTCTGAGGCCAGATTTAAACTCAGTTCCTCCTGACCCCAAGGCTGGAGCTTTATCCACTTCACCATCTAGCTGCCCCAGAAGTTGTTTTTTATGACTAGTAGATGAAAGCAATAAAATGAAATATATCCCTTGGGCTGGTAAATCAAGAGATTGTTTATTGCCTGTTTTCAGAAAAACACCAAATTCAGTCTTTTTTAAATGTTTATTTTATCTTATTTTCACCAAATTCAGTCTTGCAAAAGATTAACCTTACAGAAGAAAGTGACATGCCATTGGTTGAAGTGGTTTTGCATCTTCTTAGAAAACTAGATAAGGTCACTGACAGAGCCAGAAAACTTTAGTTTGTAATTGAATTCTCTTTTGTTCAGAATAATAACATTCATTTGGAAAGGAAAAGGGTTAAAACAACATTCTTATTTGTAGCAAATCTCCACTTTATTAAAAAACAAATGGAAAAAAATTGTTTCCCTTTTAAGTTTATCTTTCTTCCTTGAATCCTGGATTTTTACTTCTAGAGAAATTAAAGACTGGTCCAAAAAAAAAAGTTCAATTCAGCCTGTTTTCCAATCTGATTAACCTTATCTAATTAATTACTTATGGTGATGCATTTGAATGCAAACCAGTGACCCTACCTCAAAGGAAAAATGTGTTGAAATGAAGAATTTAAGCACCCTGAAAAGCTGTAGTATTTAGAAATATTTCTGCCTGAGGGAGATATGTGAAACAGGCAGCAGCTGAAGTTTGCATTTTGACAATATAGCAGAGTAACTGCAGAAAGAAATCCATATTTGCATTTTATGTCAGGTAGGTTATGTTATTTCCAGCCTTTTTAGGACCTCCACTGTAACAAATGTATTTGATTTTGAGATACTTCTTCTCCCTCTGCCCTCCCTAAGTATGTTATTAGACAAGTATTTTTTTTTAAATAAAAGCAAATTTAGTTTTTTAAGGGGGAAACAGGGATGAAATGGAGGATTTCATGGTAGTCCTTGAAATATTTAGAGATTTCCTTCACCGTCTCCCAACCAGGGTTGGGAATCACTGTGTATTATAAACCTTCACTATTAGATTTAACTCTCTCAGTTCAAGCCTTACTATAGCATAGACTCAGACATCTGTTTCCAAATTGTGGCTATTAATAGTGGGTGGGCTGTATTGTTTCCAAGAAAAGACTACTTCCCCTCCCCCCTCTTTTTTAAAGAAATGGATAATCCTTCATGTTGTAAAAGAAAGCTGTCTAGACTATCAATCCTCAAACTTATATGTTGGTTGCAATAAAAACTAATTTTATGTTTGGTAGGTTTTAATTCTTTTCTTTTTTCGTTGGTGTTGTAATAATCTTGTGGGTTTTTTCTCCCCCAGATTTCAGTCTTGGATGCAAAACGGTGCATGAACATTGGAATATTTCTCAAGCAGTTCAAAAAGTAAGCTCTTGTGTTGGCATAGATTGGATGGTGACAGCACTGCTATTAAGGAACATTTCAAACCCAGGGTGTGATGGAGGGATTAAATTTTAATGAGTGAAAATCCCTTTCCTCCCCCTCAGCTTCATCATCCTCTTTTTAGATGGGGTAGTTGATAATGCTGCATGAGTGTGTCACTCTCTGCTGTTCTAGCCCATGAAAAAATAGGCTATTGACATTAGATGCAGTGAGAATTATCCCAGCACTCTGCTTGGATCCTGCTATGTCAATAGGTAGGCAGACTTATAGTTATCCTTGCCCTTTAAGTATATGTTGACACTGGGGATGCAAAAATTTGTTAAATGCTAGAGATCTATCTAAAATGAAAAAAGGTCGAGTCTTCAGTCAAGTTTCCTTACTACCACCACCACTCCGAAAAAACAAACAAACAAACAAATCTATGAAGTTTTAGTAAGGAAGGCCAAAGAAGTTTTAACTTAATGTTGTTCTTCACCATGAGAGGGAAAAAAAAAGGCCCACAACAGCTGTTGCTGCTCTGAGGTTCCCTGGGAGGCTGGTGGATTGTTTTCTGTGTAAAAGCAACATTGAACATTGCATTAGAGAGAGTCATGCTGTTTCCCTGGCAATCAATGCTGCTATTGGGAGCAATGATACAAAATAGCTTGTCAAAATGGGGAGGTTGTGGGCTTGAAAGGGTGTGTGTTTGATTTGGGCAGGGGAGAAAGGTGTTTGTGTCTTTCATTTCCCCTGAATTGTACCTCCTGTTGGTACTAGCAAACATGAAAGGGCATTTGGTCCACTGTCTCTTCAAGGTCTCCCCAGTCCATAGTAGAAGATATCCACCAAGGAAATGGCGAACATTACGGATCAGAAACTTTGCGAGAATTTCTTAAGCTTTTGCCGGAGTCAGAAGAGGTAAATTGGTTTGGGGAGGGATGGATACTGGATGTGGGGGCTGATTGCATTCACTGTCCTCTTACTGTGATGAAAGTAGACTTGATATTTTAGAACTGTCTTTTCTCATGTTCAAAGGTCTCTGTTCTGATTGCTTTTCTGTCCATAGTAAGAGCTACTGGTACACAGTGCCTGGTACATGGTAGCCACCCAACAATTGCTTATTGATGATTAGTGCATATGCATCCTAACAGAAATCCACATTCCTCATCAGTAAAAACCCAACATAGTTAAGATCTAATATATAGGATGACACTTTCAGAGTTCCTTTTGCAATCTCAAGATGCTTTACAAATATTAATCTTACCCCACATAAATTACTCTCTAATTTACAATTGGGAACTGTAAAATACAGAGAGAACTATAGATTGTTAAGATGCATTTAAAATGCCAACTTACACGTTAAAACATAATAAACATAAAAATAAGGAGGCTAGCCTCGGTTCATTAGATTATGATCTCCTTTGCCTCAGTTACAATTCCCCCTTCCCCCCAAAGGAAAACTTGTTTGAGAGAAACAGAGTGGAGTAGTAGAAAGAGCTGGTCTCAGAGTCAGAAAGATGTGGGTTTAAGTCCCACAACTGACACATACTGTCTGTGTTAACCCTGGGCAAGTAACTTAACCTCCTAGTACCCTAGGTAGCTTTCTAAACTCTCAAGGAGTCTCAACCTGTGTTGATAAGTTCTCCTAAGGAGTTCACTATATCACTAAACTCACCGGCTTGTTTTGCGCTTCCTCAGAAGAAAACACTTCTGAAAATGAAAAAAGAAAAGCCCTCCTCAAAGTTGGTATGGAGTTATTTGTCAATAATCCACCAACCCAAATGGCTGAAAAGTGAAAAAAAGAATTCAGCATAACGAAACATTTAGTCTGAGAAACAAAATTAGTTTGATTAATTTTCAGAGTGAATTGAGGGAGTAGGGTAGAGTGAATTAACCAATTGTATAGGGTGGTTAGAAGTCCTGTGATATAGGGTTAGAGCAATAAAGAAAAATCAAACTTTGTGAAAGCTCCTTAAGCTTCTCCAAGTAATTCGTTAACAAGCCCATTTATACTTTCTGTGGGATCAGTGGGAAACTCTAGTTCTAAAATGTCAAGTTTAAGGACTTAATAGGTAACTTAGTATTTTAAACACATCTTCATAATCTATCGTTTTCTTTGTATCTTAGAATTCCTAACTGTAAATTAAAGAGTAATTTACACAGGGTAAGATTAATTAATAAAGTTTAATGTTTGTGAAGTCTTGAGATTGTGAAAGGAACTCTAAAGGTGTCCTACTATAATTTGTACTGGATCTTAACTATTTTATGCTTTTATTAGTGAGGAATGTTTGTGCATTTCTGTTATGATGCATATAATCTCATTAATTCAAACACTATTAGTTCTCCCTTCTTTACTGTGAAGTCCTTCCACGCTCACTGCAGGAACTGCTACTACTGAAACCTTCGTTACTCGGCCTTGAATGATGACTCTTTCTGATCTTAAGTCGGCTGGCTCTTGACTGCCAGAGTCAGCCACAGACAGAGTCCATCCCCTTGGCTACATGGAAGCCTTTCAAATTGACTTAGTACGAGCTATCAGAAGCCTGGTATAGTTTTTGATACACCGAGATCACTACCGCATCTCAGTGAGGCTTCAGAGTAGAACTTCAATGCGGACACTAGTTTATACATGTTATTTTGGACAAAAAACAAAAGAAACATGATTTTATTATAACTTTAGCTCATATTTAGGGGAAACCAGAGCTTTCCATAGGCTTTTCTTCCATAGTTGTGTCCTAGTTAGGACTCAGTTTTGTATATCCATCCTTATCTCAGAGGATCCAGTAGATAGCTAAATAAATGAATCACTTATTAAGTGCTTAGTATGTTCTAAGCACTCTGTTTGCTGCTGGGGATAGCAGTACAAGCAAACAAGACAGTCTCTTCCCTCAGAAAGCTTCCATTCTAGCAGAGGAAGACAATGTGTAAAGAAAAGCTGGAGATGGGAGTACCAGAACAGTAGCATTGTGTTGATATTGCTGGAAAGTGGGGGGATGCAAAGCTAAATAAAAAGGGTATAAGTTATAAAGCCCTGTGTTCAAATCTACCTCTGATACCACGTAAGCCTGGGTTCATCTTAACTCTTCTGAGCCTCAACTTCCAAATCTATAAATGAGATCATGTGTATAAAGTTCTTTTAAAACTTTAAAAAACTATGCAACTGTCAGTTATTGTCGGAAAACCTGAAGGTTACAGAAATCTTAGGGGGGGAGGCAAAATAATTGTGAGAAACATTTTATTTTAAAGATTGTTTTTCTCCCCAGAACACCTTGAGGACTGCCAGCCTTGTCTTAGATTTAGAGCTGGAAGGGAAGTCAGAGGCTGCATAGCCCAGCCCCGTTGCTTTACAGATGTGGAAAATGAGACCCGAGGAAGTGAAGTGACTTTCCCCAAGACCACACAGGGACTAAGCATCTGAGGCTGGTCGTCTGGCTCCAGTTTCTCACCTCAGGTGGTTGCTTAGCCCATCCCAGGGCCTGGGAGTGGACTCCTTAAGTTACTTCCCAGCTCTGAAATAAGCAGCAGCTGGTCCACATTGCTTTCCCTAGTGATGATCATCAGCCTTACAATCTGACAAGCCCTGTCACACTCCTCCTTGTTTACAGTACTTAGTTTTGGTTCCAACTCACCACACCCTCCCCACTCAAACTGTGAGCTCTTTTCCTTCTGCAGGAACTCCCTGACAGTCCCTGGCCTGACTCCCCATACCTCCCCTCCTTTCTTCTCCCCTCCCTAAACAACTCCAGCATATCAGTGCTGTTGAAGGGAGTAGTAGCAGCGAAGGGCTGGCGACTGATGTCCTGGGCAAGAACAAGTTTTTGTGGGTGGTGTTAGTACCATATGGCTTCTGGCACCACAGGACCTGAAGCTCATTGTATCCCTCCTCCTGAGGATTAGGTGCCAGAAAAGATCTTAGTGCCAGAAAAGCTAGAGCAGAGGGGTGATTTTTTGGGGGGGGGCGAGGGGGTCAGAGGGACAAGGAGAAGGCAGAGAAAAGTCTAAAGAAGAAGCAGTGCCAGATGGAGAAGCTGAAGAATGGATGAGGGGCATGTTAGTGATGGAATGGTCAGTCACTTACTGGAGTGGTGATGTCTGGGTTCTTTTGTGGAATAAAGAATAATGAATTGACAGAGGCAACATGGCGTATTGGATAAGTTATGACTGGGTTCAGATCTCACCTTGTTTTCTCATCTGTAAAATGAGCAAGTTGGATTTAGTGGTCCCTAAGGTCCCTTTACTCTTTAAATCTATGATCTTAAGATTGGATAGTATAAGGTTTACAAAACATTTTATGTATCTTTATTTGATACTCATAGCAGCCTTGTAAAGTACTGCAGGTGTCCCCATTTTTTAGTTTGTTTTTCATACATGTGATTTCATCTCTTCAGTGAACTCCCAGTGTGGGAACCCTACTAATGCATATCTGCAGCTATAACTTAAAATCTGAGAGAGCTGCCTGAAGGCATTGAAAATTTAGTCTTGCCCAAGGTCATACATACAGCTGGTATGTATCAGAGTCAGAACTTTAAAAAACATTTTTTAGATTTTTTTAGATTTATTTTTATTCTCAGCTTAGCAAATAACAAAGTTTAACAAATGCTTATCAAATAAAAAGAAGTATTTCTATGTACATAGTTGAACAGAAAAAAAGATTGTACATAAAACTACAGATCTCTATCATGATTGCTTTTCTTTTAAAGTATTTAGTAAGACCAACCTGTAGTTTTCAAAAGTACTCCATCTGCCTGGGCTTTTTCTTAGCTTCTCTACTTCTCTTCTTTTCTCTGTATTTCAAAAAAGAGATGCTTCAGTGACTCTTTTTTCTACCTTATCCCTATACCCCTCCTTTGTCTCACCCTACCCTTCCATTTGAAAAGAAAAGAAAACCCACATCCTTGTAACAAATACGCATAGTCCAAATGAACCTATCCATTCATGGAGATGGGAGGCCTACAAGTATTAAACATTGTGCATATTTCCAGACTTTTTCCATGTATCAATCAATTCTGATGACTTCCCCACCCTCTAAAAATACTTTTTGTCATATGGAATGGTTCTCTGAGAAGGGGAGGAAGAAGCATACATAGAATATGATGGCAAAGTAAGAAACAGAAAATATCAATAAAAACTTATTTTAAAAAACCCAGTATGTTCAGTCAAGCAAAACAAATTCTCATATTGGCTGCATCCGAGTCTCATTCTGCATTTTGAGTCCATTACCTCTCAGTCAGGAGGTGGATAGCTATTTCCTTATCAGTCTCTGGAACCATGGTTGGTCATTGCATTGATCAGAGTTCTCAGATCTCTCAAAATTTTTCTTTATAATGTTATCTTTGTATAAATTGTTCTCCTGGTTCTCACTTTACTCTGCATCAATTCATGCAAGTCTTTCCAGTTTTCTCTGAAACCATTTTGAGATTTTTTTACAGGGCAGTAATATTCCATTCAGTTGTCTAGCCATTCCCCAGTGTATTGGCATCCTCTCACCTCTTGATTTCTTTTCTACTTCAGAAAGAAACATTATAAATATTTTTGGTCATATAGGACCATTTCCTGTTTCTTTGATCTCTTTGGGGTATAAGCTTCATAGTGGTATTGCTGGGTCAGTGACTCTTATGGCATAGTTGCAAATCAATTTCCATAACAACTGGACCATTTCACGTCTCCACCAACAGTTGATTAGTGTCAGAGGTAGAATTTGATCCCAGTGTTCTGAACTCCAAGGTTGTTCCTCTAGTCACTATGCTTGATTCATAGGATTAGGAACCTCAAGCTTAGTAATTTAAATCATTTCTCATAGTCACAGAGCTGAGAAGTATGGGGTTTAGGCTCAAGTCTATTTTGACTCTGTTATAAAAATGGCTTGAAGCAGCACTGACCTCCCTCCTTGCTATCAGAACACATTGGTATAAGTTATTGTCACTTGGATAATTTAACTTTTGCCCTATGCTGGAAAAATAGAACAGAAAAAGCCCTTTTCTGTCAGCCTTTCCCAGTTGAAGAGTAGGGTTTCATTATTTGTTTCTCCTCTATCCAGTCTGTTAATCTTCCCTCAAACGAAGACAGAGGGAAAATGCAGACATTAGGACACTTAAGAGTGCATGTGTGGCCTCTTTATCCTGCAGAGAAAGAAGGGGGGTTGGACCCAGCTCTCAACCAGGGGAAAGGTCTAAGAACTATTGCCCTCAGTCCCTTTCTTCCACCATACCCCTCTGTTCCAGCTTCCCCGGTTGTTGCCTTGCCCACCTGACTATCTGGTTGACATTATGACATGGATAGAAAAGAGGGAGGAAATCTAGACTGAGCCAGGAAGCATATTGGTTGCTGTGGTCACCTCTGCTTTCCTTTTCCCTTCATTCTTTTTCATGTTCTGCTTCTCCTAGGGGAACAATGACGAGGAAGGACATTGGTGCAAGGTGGGGGAGGTGGAGCATTACATAGGTAAGGGGAGGAAGATTGATTCCTTTATTAAAGGATGCGAAAGTCTAGGCTTTCATTTTTTTCCCCATAGATCTGAGCAGAGTAGACAAAGGGCCTTGTGGCTTTGAAGACATATTTTTTTGGGAGCATGCATAGTTTAAGTTTATGGCCTAAGCAAGCCCCTTGCCCTCAGTCAATGTAATGCTTAATGTTTAACGAAAGTTTCTTGATAAGTGGCGGCACATGAATGTAATGGAATATTACTGCCTTATAAGAAATGGTAAATATAATGAATGTGGATAAGCATGGGAAGACTTATATGAACTGATGCAAAGTGAAGTCAGCAAAACCAGGAAAATAATGTATGTAATATGTGCAATAACATAAATGGAAAAATACATTTTAAAAATTAATGTTGTGAAATTACAGTCATCAAGCCTGAGCTCAAAGAAGATATACAATATGGTACCTTCCCTCCTCCTTTATAGGTGTGGGGGACTATGGGCATAGGACACTGCATATATTTTCAGAATTTTTTAATATGTTGGTTAGTTTTGCTGAACTGTCTTTTTCTTTTTTTTTTAATTCCTTGTTATAAGGGATGACTCTCTGGGAGAGGGGGTGGGGGAAGAATACATTGGGAAATGTAAAAACAAAAGATAGTAATAAATGTATTTTTAAAAAGATTCTTGATAAGAGTGACGAGAATTAATCATAATTATAGGCCTGTTCCCTATAAACATGGTTCACTCCTGTGATTCACATGCTTCTACTATTGCTATACTGCCTTTTCTTCAGCTGTCCCTGGGATTTTACTAGTATAGGGGACTTCCATTGTGCCAGCACAGGTCAGCACCTGCTTGTAGCTTCTACTTTTAGGAAGTTGCCCAGAGCACTGTGAGGTTAAGTGATTTGCCTGGTGTTTCTGACCAGAATGTCAAGATGCTGTGGTTCAGCCAACAAAGATGTCAGTACTGGGTGTGTCTCATTTTCTGACTTGGGGGTGAGCTAGGGAAATGAGCTTGAGAAAGGGAAAGTGGAGTGGTTAGAGAGAGAAAGATGTACAGTACACATTAGTGGCTGGACATGGAAGATGTACAGATGCCCCATGTACCTTAGTAGGACCAGAGATGGGTTGCATATTGAAAGGATCAGCAAATACAAGAGTATAGAAAATTACTCTGAGCCTCTTCCTGGCAACTGAGTACTTAGGAGGAAATTTAACTTTTTAGCCTGTTGCAGGAAAAATTAAAATTAAAAAATTAAAAATTTAAATATTTTAAAAAATTTTTAAAAATTAACATACATCTGGCCCAACATGAGGTGTAAATTTGGCCTATTATTTCAGAGTAGTTGACTTGAATCTTTTTAAAATACACTTTGCATTATACGTTAGGTTTTATTTCAAACCTTTAGAAGATATATTATGTTGATTCTCAATACCTTCTGAATGAATTGGTGGGAAGTAAGAAAGGGTAAAAATATGTGAAGTAGATGAAAAAATCATAGAAAAGGAACATGCTTTGTTGGGGACATATGATAGAACTGATGAGTTGTGCTTTTTGGTATTATTAAAGTATTATGTACACAAGTAAGAAAAATTTTTTTTTACACAAGACTTTCTGTGGCAGTAGTCTTACAAGTGGTTTTGCTAACAAACCTTACTGAGCTGGTCCTCTAAGTATGTGTTGGGGAACAACACTTCTGTTGTCTAGGAGCCCTTCTGTGCAACCCTGGGACCCATCCCAAGCTGTTGGACCTTAGGTTTACCAGAACTGGGTTTTTTTTTTCCTTCTTCAATTTATCCTGGGAAGAAAGTTTTGAAGAACTTTTCAAATATTAGATAGACTTTTCTTTTTCTTTTTCCCTCATGCTTGAGAACTTCAGAATATACCAGTCCCTTTCCATAAAACTGTTTATTCTAGGAATTTGGTACAGTGTAAATGTTAGATCTCACCCAAGGGTGTTTAGTTCCTAATATATAAAAAGTAGTAGAGTATAAATTTTAACTGGAAAGCATGGACCCTAGGGTCATGTTGGAATGATATTCCAGTCTCCTATTTCCTCCTCAAATGGTAACTTTTCCTTTCAGAATATTCTCTTCAGACTTAATTCATCCTTTATCACTTCAAATCATTAATTTTTTTTATTTTTAAAAAAATTTGAAATCACTTAAATTTGACAGTTATTAAATGACTACCATGTGCCATGACTGTGAGAGGTGCTGGAGATACAAAAACAAAAACAATAGTCCCTGTCCTTACAAGGAGCTTATATTCTGGTTCCATTTAGTGTATCCGAATGGTGCCAGATCAAAATGCTTTATAGTTTCACATATTTATTCTGAGTACTTCTATTTCACATCTATGATCATGGGGAAAAATAAAATCCATAGAGCACAAGTCTGTGTGTGATCATAAAAACTCTCATTGTCTGTACTCATCTCTGCTTTTGTGATGATTTTATTTAACTCTTTAAAATTAAAAAAAAATCCAGGCAGTGCTAAAGTTTTGATCATAAACTGTTATTTCTCTATTCTCCTCTCATTTGTCTTTTAGGTAAAGAAATTAAAAACATTTAGTGGAGATGCAGCCAAGCTGTCTCTGGCAGATTCCTTTATATACTTCCTAATTCAGGTGCCAAAGTAAGGATGTACTAGTTATTCTTTTCATAGTGAGTTCTTTGATTATTGGTGTTTTTGTGTAAAGGTTTTTTCTTTTCTTTTTTCTTTCTTTTTTCTGTCTCTTAGCTATTCACTTCGGATTGAAGCCATGGTGCTAAAGAAGGAATTTTTACCTTCATGTTCTTCTCTGTGGGATGACATGTCTATTTTAAGAGTAGCTACAAAGGGTAAGTAACTAGTTCTGAGGTTATGCCTGCCTCTTATTTGCGCTTGTGTTTACTCAGTTTAGTTTAAAAAGTTCTTATCAAGTGCTTTGTGCCAGGCACTGGGGACAAAGAGAAAAATGAAATAACCCTTGCCTACAAAGAGTCTAATAGTCTACTTATTTTTTTTTTAAATTTATTTATTTATTTGCTTTTGGTCTTCAACATTCACGTCTATAAGATCTTGAGTTCTAAATTTTCTACCCCTCCCTCTGATCCCACCTTCCCAAGAAGGTATGCAATCTGATATATGCTATACATGTACAATCATATTAAACATATTTTCACATTAGTCATGTTGTAAAGAGCCTTTCCAAAGAGGAAAACCAGATGGAAGAAGAAACAAAACCAAAAAAAAAAGAGAAAGTAGTATGCTTCCATCTGCAGTCACACTCCATAATTCTTTCTCTGGATATGGATAGCATTTTCCATCATGAATCTTTTGGAATTGTCTTAGATCCTTGTATTGCTGAAAAGAGTTAAGTCTATCAAAGTTAGTCATCATATTATGTGGCTGTTACTATGTACAATGTTCTCCTGGTTCTTCTCATTTCACTCAGCATCAGTCCATACAAGTCTTTCCAGGTTTTTCTGAAGTCCTCCTGCTCATCATTTCCTATGGAACAATAGCATTCCATTACATTCATATACCACAACTTGTTCAGCCACTCTCCAGTTGAAGGACACTCCCTCAATTTCCAGTTATTTGCCACCACAAAGAGTTGCTATAACTATTTTTGTACATGTAGGTCCTTTTCTCGTTTTTATGATCTCTTTGGGATACAGACCTAGAAGTGGTATTGCAGATGAAAGGGTATGCACAGTTTTATAGCCCTTTGGGCGTATTTCCAAATTGCTCTCCAGAATGGTTGGGTCAGTTCACAACTACACAATGATGCATTAGTGTTCTAATTTTCCCACATCTCCAACATTTATCATTTTCCTGTTTTGTCATGTTGGTCAATCTGAAAGGTGTATTGTGGTACATCAGAGTTGTTTTAATTTGCATTTTTTTAATCAATAGTGATTTAGAACATTTTTTCATATGACTATAGATAGCTTTAATTTCTTCCTCTGAAAACTGCCTGTTCATATTCTTTGACCATTTGTCAGCTGGGGAATGACTTGTATTCTTATAAATTTGACTTAGTTCTCTATATATTTTAGAAACGAGGCCTTTATCAGAGACCCTGGCTGTAAAAATTGTCTCCCAGCTTTCTGCTTCCCTTACAATCTTGGTTGCGTTGGCTTTGTTTGTGCAAAAAACTTTCTAATTCAATGTAATCAAAATTATCCATTTTGCATTTCATAATGTCTTGTTTGATCATAAATTCTTCCATTCTCCATAGATCTGACAGGTAAACTATTCCTTGCTCTCCTAATTATATAGTCTACTTCTTTATGGCAGCATTTTAATTATTATTGTTTTAGATAAATCTTCAATACCTCAAAAAAGAGCCATGATATTAGCAGTGTGGGTCCTCCCTCCCCCCACAGAGTATACCCCTTTGTGCCCTGGTGGACTGTTGCATAATTTGTTGCCAGAAAAATTCATTGCCTGGTGGCCCACGTTCTGGCAATAAGTTTCTCTGATCTTAGCTAAGGTGATCCTTGGATGATAGAGGCACTACCCATTGCTAGGTTAGTACTTGAAACCTTTCCAGATTGGGTAGACCAGCCAGAGCTTGGGCATAGCTTTAGGAGCCCAGGGTCACCTCCAGGTCACGATAAGAGATTGATCTTGAGTGGAAGTTGGATGAAAGTCAATTGTTGATAATACCCCAAATGTGAAATGGAAAGGTCATAGGCTCTTGGCATTAGCAAGGACCTTAGGGATCAAATAGTCCAGGGGTTTCTGAATCTGGGCTCTGTGAACTTATTTTAACATTTAGAAAACTGTATTTCAATAATATTGGCTTCCTTTGTAATCTTGTTTATTTTATTTTATGCATTTAATAACATGATTCTGAGAAAAGGTCCATAGGTTTTGCCAGACTGTCAGAGGGGTCATAACACTAAAAAAGGGAAAAAAAACTTGATCTGGTCCAATTCCCTCATTTTGCAGATTAGGAAATTAAAGTAAAGTGACTTGCCTATGGTTCCAGGAAGCATTTTTTTTTTTAAGTTCTGTTTTTAAAAGTTTTATTGATGCCTTTTAAAAAAAAATACCAATGAAGTAATTCCTCTTTATATCCTCTCCTTCCCTCACTGAATCCTCCCTGGTGACAAAGGAAAACAGTAACTAAATAAAAATGGATGAACCATAGGTCTGATAGTATATACAGTGTCTCATACCCCTTAGCCCCCCACCTTTCATAGTCTGCCCTCCTTGACCAAGGAGAGCTCATTACTATCACAGTTCAATTGCCCTTCATTTTTTTCTTTTACATTATTGTAGTCATTATATATGTATAGTCTTTACCTGGGTATTTTACCTCACTTCTTATCAGCTCCTATATTTCAGTTTCCATGTTTCTTTAGATGACTCATATTTGTCTTTGTAGAGTACAGTAGTCTTCCATTACAAATGGGGATTCCTTTCAGATATGGACAAGGTAACCACTGAGATCCTTTTCAGATGGATTCCATAAAATTCTGTGATTCTGTACTTCATATTGGCTCATATAAATCTAAGACTGAAAGGAACTCTAGATGCAATTTAGCCCACCCCCTTCCTTTTACAGGTGGAGAAACTGATGCCCACAGAGATTCCATGACTTACTCAAGATTAAACAGGTAGCAACTGTCTGAGGTAGAATTTGAATCCATATCCTGTTACTCTAGAGTTGGTGCCCTTTTCACACATGCTACAATTTGTTAGAACAGTCCCTAGTTGTAGAGCATCTATTTTATTTCTGAGTTTTGTGACACCGCCCCCAAGTCCTATTTACTAGGATTATTTTTTTTCTTTAGTTTTCATCATTCACTTTTATAAGATTCTGAGTTCTAAATTTTTCCTCCTCCCTCCCCAAGAAGGCATGCAATCTGATAAAGGCTATACTTGTATAATCATATTAAATTTATTTCCACATAAGTCATATTGTGAAAGAAGAATCAGAACAAAAAGGGAAAACCACGGGAAAGAAAAAACAAACTAAAAAGAGAAAATAGTATGCTTTGATCTGCATTCAGACTCCATAGTTCTTTCTCTGGAAGTGGATAGCATTTTCCATCATGAGTTTTTTAGAATTGTCTTAGATACTTGCATTGCTGAGAAGAACTAAGTCTATCAAAATCAGTTATCGCACAATGTGGCTATTACTGTGTAGAGTGTTCTCCTGATTCTCACTCAGCATCAGTTCATATAAGTCTTTCCAGGTTTTTCTGAAGTCCACCTGCTCATCATTTCTTATAACACAATAGTATTCCATTACATTCATATACCACAACTTGTTCAGCCATTCCCCAATTGATGGATATCCCCTCAATTTCCAATTCTTTGCCACCACACAAAGAGCTGCTATAAATATTTTTGTGCATGTGTGTCCTTTCCCCTTTTTTACAATCTCTTTGGGATACAGACCTTTACTAGGATTATTTTTTTTTGACTGAACAACAAGCAGCGCTCCTCCTCACCCCAGGACTGCACCTCAGAACTGTGACCCAGATCCAAGCACCAGTAAAGCAAGAGATTCCTGCCTCAGCACTGGAAAAGAGATCCTTGTAATCCCCCTCTGATCAGCCACTCGATTCCCCCTCAGTCTGTGGGCCAGAAGCTCAAGAAACGGTCGTTGCCCTGAGGGCACACTCGGGACTTGTGGCTGAGACCTAGCTCCTCTCTCTCCGAAGTCACAGACTTTTCCCACTGACCTTCCACGTTGTCTTTGGCATTCATGGGTTGAGAAGTCTGGAAACTGCTACAGCTGCCAGCAATTCAGTCCTCTGAGGCCTGCTCCAGGGTCACTGCGGCCTGCCCACCCACACTGCACTGTGCTCCTCTCCCAGCCCGGCGCGATATACCTTTCTGATCAACCATCCAGGCTGTCTTTGTCTGGAAATTTGTTTCACTCTATCTTTTTGTGGGTTCTGCTGCTTTAGAATTTGTTTAGAGCCATTTTTTTTAGGTATTTGGAGGGCTTTGGGAGAGAGCTCAAGACAGCCACTGCTTTCCCTTCGCCATGTTGGCTCCGCCCTCCTACTAGGATTATTTAACCTAGCTTCTTGGAACCAGTATACTGGGGGAATCTATCTTTGTATTTGTCTTTCTGATTTCACATTGAGTCATGACTTGGCAGTCATGTGGTGATGTGGATTGACCACTGGATTTGGAGTCAGGAAGTCCTGAGTTTGAATCCTGCCTTGGACACTTAATAGCTGTGTGACCTTGAGCAAGATTCTTAACTTCCATTCCTCTTCTGTAAATGGAGATAATAATGGCTCCCAGGGAGAATCAAATGTAATTATACTGAGAATATACTGTGCATAACACTTTTGAAACCTTAAAGTGCTATATAAATGTTAGTTATTATTTTGTTGTCCATGAACTTTTCTACAATTCATCAATGCCAGCTAGATTTCCTCTTTGTCACCCTTGAGGTTTCTAGTTGTTTTATTTTAATTTGGATTTCCTGTTTGTTCACTATTCCCTGTGGCTGAGTTAATGTTTATCATTTTAGACCATTTATTTGACTAAAAAAAAAGCTTTCTTTTCTCATGAAATAACCTTTTCTTCTCCCTTTGCTATAGCAACACATGTAGTAGCTTTTGAAGGAGTTATAATTTTTATTTTGCTTTAGTTAGGAAAAAGTACTTTTCCTCTTTCATGTCTAGTAGAAATGTAATTTAAAATTATTTGCAAATTAGTGGGCATGGTAGAAACGTTCCTTATCTGATTTCTCTTAGAGAACTGGCCTACTTAGATAACGTAACGTAGGCCAGGATCCAAGTATAATTTAATTGAAAGTAATTCCAGTAATACCAGGCATAGAAGGAGAGAGTATGGTTGTCAAAATATTATAGATGATTTACAACTCTTATAATTAGAGGTTTTTCAGCTTTGTACACATATTCAAATAAATTTAAGATAGCCAAATTACAACTTTTATAGTGCTATTCATCTAACATTTACAGTCATTTTGTAGAGATGTACAGCAGATGGGTTATGTAGAAAAAAAAGTCACTTTGTTGCAGACCTGAAATATGTATCTTTTTGTTTTTAAAGAAATCATCAATTTGAAATGAAGGCAGTGTTGACAAGGTGGCCATATTGTAAGCACAGTACTTTGCAAATTATTTGCATGCTCTCTTGGCATGATTAGGAACAAAAAAAAAAGATTTTTTGGAGCTCATTGGAAAAGCAAAATACCACCTGATTTTTAATCCTTCCTATTCTTTTAACTCAATCTTAAACTGAATATGAGGAAGAAAATTAAAGGAATAAAACCTGAAAAGGAAAGTTTATTTCTAAGACACATAACCTGTACCCTCAGAGCTAAAATCTCAAGTTTAGAACTAAAATGGAGCTAACCCAATTGTTTTACAGTTGAGGAAACTGATTTCTTAAAAAATGACTTAAATTTTCTTTTATTCTGAACTTAAACACCAAATACAATGAGCATTTCGATGCACATAGTAACAGAAAAAAAAGGATTGTACATGAAACTATGAATCTACAGCTTTATTTTCTTTTAAAGTACATAATATTTTTAGCATTTAACTTTCAAAGCTATCCTGTTTATCTGTGCTTCTGTCCTTCCTTCTGTTTTCTTCCGTAAATTAAAAAAAAATTACTTAAGTGACTATGTTTTTCTTTCTTTTTTTGGTGGGTGGGGGTGGGGAATGCTATCTCTGGCAGTTCTCTGTCTTACTTTGAAAAAGAAGGAAAAACAAAATCTTGTAACAAATATACACAATCAAGCAAAATAAATTTCCAAATGGACAGTGTGTATGTCTTATTTATGCATCCAGAGTTCATCATCTCTTACAAGAGGTGGATAGCATTCTTTGTCAGTGGTTCTCTGACATTGTGACTGGTTATGGCTTTGCACAGAATTCTTAAGTCTTACAATGTCTTTGTTATTGTATAGTTCTCCTGGTTCTACTCATTTTACTCTGCATCCATTCATACGAGTCATCCCAAGTTTTCTGAAACTGTGTCTTCATCATTTCATTATATTACAATAAGGCTACATTACATTCATATGCCATGATTTGTTCAGCTATTTCCCTGTTGAAAGACAGGTATCCCCTTAGTTTCCAGTTCTTTGCTATAACTAAAAGAAATGCTACATATGGCTCCTTTTTCTCTGTATTTAATTTCTTTGAGGTATAGGCCTTGTATCATTGATTAAAAGGTCTATATGCTGTTTAGTGATTGGGCAGGGGGAGGGCAGAGTTCCAAATTGATTTCCAGAAAGACTGCACCTTTCTGGTTCCATTAACAGTGAAGCACAGTGCTTGCCTGTTTACTCATAGCCCCTCCAGCATTTGCGATTTTCCTTTTTTTGGGCCATTTTTGTCAATCTTATGGGTGTAAGGTAGAACCTCAGGGTTATTTTATTTTGCATTTCTCTATTGTTGGAGAATTTTTAAAATATGGTTGATTATTTTTTTTAAATATGAAGTACCTATAGTTATTGATAGCTTGTGTTTCTTCCTTTGAAAACTGCTGAGTCCCCAAGGAGCTAAGTGGCTTGCCTAAATCTCCTAGATATATATTCATATGGCAGAGCTAAATTAGAACCCATGGTTTATTCTTGTTGGATACTTCTTCAGCCAACAAGGATCAGAATCTCTCTGCTGTTTATATGGGGCAGTGTTTAAGAGCTGCTTTACCCAATATTTCCCTGTCTAGTGGCCAGCCTTCTGTTGATGACCCCATCTGCTCTTAACTGGATGGGTCTTTCAGATGAAAAACTCATAGACAATTGCCTGGCATGTACTTAAAGCTTGACAGGACCTGTCAGAGCTTGTACTCCTCTGGCACAGCTTTTGAGAACCCAGTGTTGCCTTGAAACCATGGCAAGGAATGTGAGTAGGACTCCAGTTGAGAAACATACATAGCATTTTGTTTTTTATTCATCTTGTACGTTGTTATCTCATATTTGCAAACTTTGTTCATTGAGTGTTTTGTAAGTTACTAATAGTGGTCTCAAACAAATCCTGTTATATTTGCAATCTAAACCAAAGGGCCTGGTGGATTACTAATAATGGTTGGGGAGATAAATTTACAATACACAAAAATGCGTTGTTTTGTATATTATATATGCTTTAAACCCCTCCTGGTTTTGTGTGCAAGTATAGTTTAGATACCAGTCTGATAAATGTGGATTAGGGATCAGGATTTAAGCTAAAAACCTCTTCAAGACTTTCTTTTTCCTTTTTCCAGAGCTGATGTCCTGTGAGGAGTTACATTCTATACTGCACTTAGTCCTCCAGGCTGGAAATATTATGAATGCGGTAAGTCCAATTCTAAATGCAAATGGGGCTTTTCTGCTTTGATGTGGCAATCTACGGAAAGTACATACCGTTTCTTTTGATTTTCTCTCCTTAGGGAGGTTATGCTGGCAATGCAGTGGGTTTCAAATTGTCATCATTGCTCAAATTAGCAGACACAAAAGCGAACAAACCAGGGATGAATCTGCTCCACTTTGTGGCTCTGGTAGGTAAAAAGGATTGCTGGTGGCTATCTGGGGCCGGGAAGAGAGAGACCAGCTAGATAACTGACCTGTCAGGGAAGCTGTTGTGTTTGTGGGAGGAGGAGTATTTCCCTGTAGAGGTTTTTTATTAAAGAGCGGTGCTTTGTAAAGGGCCATACTAACCAGTTGAAAAACACATATTAGGATGGCAGTGCTCCTCCTACCCCTGGACACCTGGGTCCTCCCCACTCTTCATCCAAGTTAAATATTCTTAAAAATGAGTCTAAGTGAGGGACATTTTCTGGTTACAGTTACAAACATATTGTTCAGTTGTTTTTCAGTAATGTCTGACTCTTTGTGATCCCATTTGGGGTTTTCTTGGCAAAGATACTGGAGTGGTTTGCCATTTCCTTCTCCAGCTCATTTTACAGATGACGAACTGAGGCAGATAGGGTTAAGTGACTTGCCCAGGGTCCCAGAGCTGGTAAGTGTCCGAGGCTGGATTTGAACTAAGGAAGATGAGTCTTCCTGACTTAAGGCCTATCCACTGGGCCACCTAATCACCTAGTAAATCAGGTCATCATGTCCTTTCCAGGGGTGGGGAACCGACAGCCTTGAGGTCACATGTGGCCTTCTAAGTCCTAGGGAGCGGCCTTTTGACCGAGTCCAAGTTTTACAGAACAAATCCTTTTATTAAGGGGATTTGTTCTGTGATGATTTGGTCAAAGGGCTGCACTTGAGGACCTAGAGGGCCACATGTGGCCTTGAGGCTGCAGGTTCCCCACCCCTGCCTTTGACTATCTCTGCCTAGATAGAGTGAAGATGGAACACATTTCCCCCTTTTTAAAATAAAGTTCTTTTATTTTTAAATCAAGGCCATTTCTTCTTAACTCCTTGCTTCCCCTAATGAATATGTCCTCATTATCAGAGAAACACATTCACTGCAAACAAATTCCCATAATGACTGCCCATGGTAGTATATAACCAGGGTCTTTTTCCGTTTATTTATCTGATGCTAAATAACCTACTTTACTCTTTTTCTCCCACTGACTTGAACTAGTTTTGATGTCACAAGCACAACTTTCATTTTCAGAGGACAGTAATTTATTTTAGCAACATACTTGGTTGCAAAGCTCATTTTCAAGCCCTTTGAGATATGTTCTTCTTTTAACCACAAATGTGTTGCACATGGAGGTTTCTGTCAGAGTTCTCTTGTTTCTCTTTCCCACTGACATAATCAGGATGGGTCTCTGCCCATGTAGGGTGAAGTTTCATTAGTCAGGAATTGTTCCCCTCCCACCTCCCATCCTCTAAATAGGCACAGAATCCAAACACCTCCATGGTGTGCACCTTCTGATTAAGCTCACCCTGCGAACTGGTTCAACGGCTGCCACATATCTCGATCATTTCAAGGCAAACACTTCGGTATGGGTGGCATTCAGGCAGGAAATATTGGATTCTCTTAGAAACAATGGACCCTGCTCAACCACTCCTGCCTCCTCCCATTCAGTTGTAGGGCCAAGGAATTGTATCCCATATCAGGATAAGGTGCCAGTTGCTCTGGGAAGTGACAATTTATTTTGAAATTTGAGGTGTTCTGTAAATCTTCCTAAGAACATCATAGTTCCCTTTCTCAGCAGAGTAACAGGGTATATAGCAAGAAGACAATTGTACTAGTCAGTTTTAAGGTCCTTTCAAGTATTTAGAAAAAGTTCCTTTCAAATGGTCTCTCCATTATGTTATAAGTCTATATAGAGAAGAAATTGTGTTTGTGGTTTTTTTTTTTTGTTGTTGTTGTTCTAGGAAGCCCAAAAGAAAGATGTTATTCTTCTGAACTTTTCTGAAAAATTACGTCATGTTCAGGAGGCTGCCAGGTAAGCAAAGGAAAATTCTTGGAAAAATTTGGGAATTTGACTTTTTTGTGAAATAAAGAAGCTTGTTCCCAGTTTTTAGCATGAAGTTCAAAATCTTCCAAAACATTTATCTTGTTTAGTTTCATTTGGCCTATGGAGGTGTATTTGCTTGTCCCCCCCCCCCTTTTCATGAATCAATGTTGAAATGTTTAGAGTTTTTTCAAGAGAGTGAGCTCTATCTTTTAAAAAAAATGATCAGTTTTAATAATCGGATTAAGGGGAAAAAAGTGTATTAAGAACTTCAAATCCCTCCACACCCAAGAGACAGCTCAGACTACATCATTTTACCCTTGTTTATACCCTAATAAGAGTATAACACAAGTGTAACACAGGATTTGTAGTAAAAAAAAATTTAGGGTAAAATCCTTTTCCACTATACTGCAGCATTTAAAACATTACATTAGAAATGTGAATTTTCTGAAAGAAATTTGTGAAGAATTTTTTTTCTTCTGAATAATAACGACATGTTACAAAGAACATTTGTAACAAGAAGAAAGAACCAGTAGCAAATTCATGAATTAGTTTTAAGTTATAGCTCTACAGTGAAGGATACCAGTTTATTAAATTAATTTATTAAATTTTAATTAGTTTATTAAATTAGTTAATTAAAGATCCTGTGCTTGGATTACAGGAAGAAGTATGTGAAAATATTTACTTGAAGTTGGTCTGTTAGAAAAGTAAAAGCTTTTAATGAGTGAAGCAGTATTATTAGCAAAATTGTGAAACTTTAAAAGGTTAGTGTTGACTAAAAGCACAAGTGATTAAAATGAAGGCAGAACACTTGAGTTCAAAAACAATTAAAGTTGACAGTAGTAGGGAAAATAGCCCTCTAAAAAATTAGCTACTTTAGTCTCCTTGCTAGGACATTAGTACTCCTCAACTAACTTGCAGACAGCTAAAAGTCACCTTATCCATTTATGTTAAACATATGAATAGTTTTGAATACTTATGAATTAGTGATTAATTTGCTATGGGGTGGAACTGTGAAATAAGTCCAAATCTAGACATTTCTATTTCATAGTTATGTAACCCTGGAGAGAAATTACTATACCTCTCTGATCCTTAGTTTTCTTATCTGTAAAATGAGCACAATTTATATTACTTACTTCACAGAGCTGTTATGAGCAGGAAAGTGCTTTCTAGTCCTTAAAGTGCTATGAAAATATGAATTGTCAACATTATTGCCTTTTATTGAAACCAGCACGTGACTCCTTTCTCTTTAAAATACCATTATTGGGACAGGAAGTACCACAGCCTGTCTCTTATTTCTCAGGATTAAGTTTTTCTATTGTTTGCTTTTAATGAGTAGAAGAAAGCATGAATATTTCTCTCTCTCTCTATCTGTCTGTCTGTCTTGCTCTCTCTCTCTCTCTCTCACTCTCTGTCCATTCTACTCCTCCTGTTCCCATCACAGGACTTGGAGGGGTTGTAAGAGTTTTCAGATCTCGTTGTGAGAAACCATACCAATAGATCAATGCAGTAGGCTCCCAAGTTCCATGTTTCTGATTGTTTGTCAGTATAGGACAAAGTAATGACACGATCTCTTTGAACCAGTTATCACCATTTTGGATTTATGAAGGAGTCATCTTCTTTTCTTTCTCTCTCAAAAAAAAAACCCAACAAAAACCAAACCCACAACAAAAAAAGCCCCACAACAAAGCATGGAAAGAAACCCACAGAGCTCTAACCACAGGGAAGCTTATTGTGATAACTCACCTTCTGTTTTGATAATGTTGACCAACAGGGAAAGGTCCTGTTTGATGTACCTCTGGGACACATGATAATTGCCAAAACGTGATACTCTGGAGTCATTTCCTCATCCTAACTGCCCACTCACTTCTGCCTTTCTTCTTTTAGATTATCTTTTGATAACACCGAGTCAGAGCTTCACTCGCTGTCTGCACGGACAAGATCTCTAAAGGAAAATATTCAGCGGGATCCTGAGCTTTGTCAACAGATGAAAGCCTTTATTAAGGTTTGTTGTTAGTAGCTCAAAATTAGACTTCCAACACTTCAGAAAGTCTGTGATTTCATTGATGTGGCTTCTCCCTGAGCCAGTACAGGTCACAATCCTTCCAGGTTTCCCTGACTTGCTGGGGCTGAAATTACTTCATCCACACCTTGGATGATGGTCTGACTCTTGGTGAAAAGCTGAATTTGGTGAACCTGGTACTCAGGCAGTAATAGTCTCTTCCCAGGCCCATGTTCAAAGGAGCACCAGATCTGGAGTGAAAGGACCTGGGCTCGAATTTCATCTCTATCACATAGTAGCTGGGTGACGTTTGGGTGAATGACTTGACAATTCTGGGCCTCGGTTTTCTCATCTTTTAAACTGGGAGAGGGGTAAAACTAGACTGTCCTGTGAGCTGCCTCTCATCTCTAAATCTCTGCAGGATTTGCCGGAACCCACACTCTGCTGGTATATATTTTGAGAATCCAGGGTCACTTCCATACTTGGATGAAGCTTTGGAGTAGAATTTTAGAGGAGGATTCAAAATTAGGCCCCTGAATTTCAGAGTGCATTGAGACTGGTCAGAATTGTATAGGTGTTTTTGTGGAAGCAGGAGTTTTCCATTAACATTTCTTTTCCAGGGCACAAAAGAGAATGTTTATTCCAGTACCTATGGTAATATGCCTTAGAAAAAAAAAAGTTCCACCCCCTCAAACCCCACAGGTGTTTTATTCTCTTCCTAATAGAAAGTATTGGATGCGGCACTAATAATAATAGCTAACATTTATATAGTACTTTAAAGTTTCCAAAATGCTTTGCCTACATTATCTCATTTGATCCTGAAAAAGCCTAAGAGAAGTCAAGTGATTTTAGGAAAGATTTGTCAGAGATTAGATTTGAATGTCATTCTTTGCATGAATCCGCTGCTTTGAACATAGGCAGATTTCAGTCCTGCCAAATCTGTGCCTGGGTGTTTTTGTCCTGGTTTGGTTTGTCAGCTTTTAAATTAAATCACAGATCATAGAATTCATTTTTTTTCTCATTTCCTTTTTAAAATTCAGAACTTTATATAAAGCAAATAAAATTAGCATTTCCATGTGCATTGTAGAACAGAAAGAGAAGGTTAAAACTGCAAAACTCTATTGTGGAATATAGGATTTGGGGTTGGAAAGGGGATGTTAGAGAGCATCTAGCCTGGTATCCTTTTTGTTCAGAGAGAGAAACTTGGGCCCAGGGAAGTGAGTTAGAAGTGAGGACATATACTTGAGGTCACTCAGGTCTTACATAGAGGAGCCAAGATTAGAACTCATGTCATCCACTTCCTTATCCAATGTTCGTTTTACCTAATATTGGCTGTAGGCTAAGATTTTGGACCATAGGTGAAAACCTAGAGATCTTGGAGTTCAACTACTCCTGATTTAACAGATGAGGAAACCCAGGCCTAGGAAAGTTGATTAAACTGTTTAGTTACTAAGCATTAAAGATATGGGATTTGAACCCCGTCTACAGAGAAATGAGTCATAGTTATAGATAGTGAATGGTAAAATTGGAGGGAATTTTTGAGATAATCTAGTTCAGTGCAGATGAGAAAATCAGCTTCAGAGAAGGGAAGTCATTTGTGTGTTTTTCTCCTTGGTTGTTTGAAAGATTAGAAAAAGGTGAGAGAGCTAGATGGTTTCATGCCATAGAATGTACTGGGACAGCTGTGCCTATTCACACCCTCAGTACAATAGCCTACTTGGGTGTGTCTGATGAGCTGATCAGAATAACATAAACAAAAAAATGGCAGAGTGGACATGTTTGTGACAGCTCCCTGTGACTCATTAATTATATAGTCTGACATATACCTTTTATCTCCCATAGTGAAAAACAAAAGTGGCAACTTTTCACACTTGTAGGCTAGGATAAGTCTCTAATGCTACTTACTCATGCACTGTTAGCACTGTGAGATGTGGGGAGATCGTAAGAGGATCCACACAGGTTTTTGAAGCACTTGGTCTGCTTCAAACTTGGGTGGGCATAAGCCTCCGGATCTACCTCAGTTTGATTTTGACAACCAGTACAAATCAGAATCTCACCTTCTAATAAGCGGTTCTCATTCATATCCTTCTATAGATGTGCCCAGTGTCCTAGAGGCTGGCCCCTTATTTTTTTAACATCTTGAAAGAATAATAATAGTAACCATAATTGACGTTTATATAATGCTTCAAGGTTTGCAAGGCATTTTTTACACATATTATTTGATTCTCAGAAGAATCTTGGAGGTTTGTGGTTATAGACATTCTCTTAAGTTGTAGAGAAAGTGCTAACCTACATTGGTAGAGGGAGTTTCCTCACAAAAGAGTCCCCTATTCCAGTGAAATTACAGGTTAATTCTTTATCCCATAGAACTAGTAATTGTCATAAGTGGTGTTTGAACCCAGGTATTTTTGGCTTCGAGTTCAGACCTTTGTTCATTAATGTTGTCTTCACTCTTCTTATCAGACCATTCTCTACCCTTTTCTGATCATAGACATGCTTAATGAAGGCTTTTTAATGTCATTTTTTTCCAAGTGCAAGTAATGAGTAGTAGTAGGGCACTTGATATACCATAAATCTTTTTTCTTTTAGATTTGAATTTTTTTTAAAAAACTAAATTTATTTTTAGCATTCATTTTTAGGTAGAATTGTCATTTTTATTATATTGACTTGGTCTACCCATGAGCAATTAATATTTTTCTAGTTGCTTAGATCTGACTTTATTTGTGTGAAAGTGTTTTGTAATTATCTTTATATAGTTTCTGGGTTTGTCTTAGCAGGTAGACTCCCAAGTTTTGCATATTGTCTACAGTTATCTTGAGTGGAATTTCTCTTTCTATCTTTTGCTCCTGTATTTTGTTGGTAGTATATAGAAATGCTGATGATTTATGTGGGTTTATTTTCTGTCCTGCAACCTTGCTAAAGTTAATTATTTCAAGTAGTTTTTTAGTTGATTCTCTAGGATTCTCTAAGTACATCATCATAACATCTATAAAGAGTGATAGTTTTGTTTCCTCATTGCTTATTCTAATTCCTTCCATTTCTTTTTCTTCTCTTATTGCTATAGCTAACATTTCTAGTACAGTATTGAATAAGAGTGATGATAATGGGCATCCTTGCTTCACCTCTGATCTTATTGAGAAGGCTTCTAGCTTATTCCCATTACAGATAATGCTTGCTGATGGTTTTATATAGATACTACTTATCATTTTAAGGAAAGCTCCATTTATTCCTATTAAGCATTCATTAAGAAATTTTTTTTGAGTTCTGAATTCTCTCCCACCCCTCCCCCACCCATTGAGAAGGCAAGAAATGTATTATCAGTTATACATGTGAAATCATGCAAAATATATTTCCGTATTAGCCATGTTGCAAGAATAATAAAGAAAGTGAAAAAATTATGCTTCAATCTGCACTCAGACTTCACCAGTTCTCTCTCTGGAGGTGGATAGCATTTTTCATCATGAGTCCTTTGGAATTGTCTTGGATCATTGTATTGATCAGGGTAGCTAAGTCTTTCATAGCTGATCATTGTTAGAATATTGCTGTTACTGTGTACAGTGTTCTTCTGGTTCTGCTTACTTCACTTTGTATCAGTTCACGTAAGTCTTCCCAGGTTTCTCTGAAGTTTGCCTGCTCATCATTTTTTATAGCACAATAGTATTCCATCACAATCATATACCACAACTTGTTTAGCCATTCCCCTATTGATGGGCATCTCTTCAATTTCCAATTCTTTGCCACCACTTCTATCTTTCCATTGTTCTCTGTGTCATATTCAGTTTTTATTATTTGGCTTTAATATTAACTTCCTAATGTGACTGCTTATATGATGAAAGTCTTCATTAATAGTTATGGTAGCATGGACATTTCCAAACCAGCACCAATCTAAGTGTCTTGGCCTTTTGGTACTGAAGTCTGTTCAGTGTTCCAAGAAATTAAAGAGTTAAGTTTTATTTGGCCATTCAGATTGTAATTCGTTGGCATTTGCGCCAATAAAACACACCTTTCCTAGTGGACCTTAGGGGTTTTTTTTGTGTTTGTTTTGTGTTGTTTTTTTGGGGGGGGGGGGGAGTTGCCTTTAAATTTTTACTGTCTATGACATTTAAATACAGCCAGAAAATAGGTCTTGGTAAGATAAAGGATATTCCAAACTTGGGTTATATTTTTATTTTATCATTATTTTCTATAGAATTTGTCCCCCAAATCAGGGAATGCTTTGGTTGGTTTTGTCTTTTTCCTTATATTCCCAGGAACTAGAGAGCAGACCAAGAAGGCAGAGCTAACCCGCTGTGTATGGTCTTGTCAGGAGGCCTATTTTTCTTCGATTGAGTTATTTTTTGGCACTAGTCCATTTTCATCCCATATTGGGGGAGTGACATGCAAAGATTTATTCCCTCATATTCATACTTTCTCTCCCTAAAGATGTGCTGTGCTGCACACACTCTCAAACTACATTGCCTTGGGCTGCTGGTTCAGATGCATACTTTCTCCAGTATTCTAGTTTACTAAATAGTTTTCATTTTCCTATTTCTTTTCTGACATCTTTTCACAACAACAGTAAAAAAAAAAAACAGTCATTGTTCGTGTTTGGGCACAAAAAGAACATAATCAGGAACAACATTTCATTGAAGTGGGAAATGGGGAATGTTATTTTGGTGTAGATTTTTGTTGTCCAACTCCTTGCCTTGTTTGTTTGTTTGTTTTTGTTTTGAAGGGCAAAGGGTGATAGCTTCTTTAAGGACATTTAAATAGCAATTCATCTTCAGGTCATCCCCTATAACTTGATTCTCCCTCACTTTCCACATCTCTTAACAGAGAGAGAAACAAACACACAATTTGAAATGTAATTTTTTTCTAGAAAGGAAAAAAAAGTCAGCCTTGGAGTCAGAAGGACTTGACTTCAAGTACTTCCCCTAAGTTCTCTTTTTAAAGAGGAGCTATCAGTCTGTATCAGGGAAGGAGCTTCTACACCCTCTACCCAAATTTTTTTTTTTTGCTTTTGTTTTTTTCCTTATTAGTATCAAGTTAAAGGAAAGATGATATGTAAAAGAAGGCAGCAAATTACAGTGGGTAAAATGCTGACTTTGATGTCAAAAAGGCCTGGCTCTACCACTTCATATCTTTACTAGCTGACTTCTGAGACCTTCCTAGTTGGAAGTCTCTATCATTGTTCCTCACCGTAGTTGGCCATTGGTAATAGTGGAGAGCTACAGGGAGCAGAACATGCTGGCAGTTTTCAGCTAGGCTGCCATCCCTTTGGCTAGAAGAAAGCCTATGCTTTCCAACTTCCTACCTCCCTGCCTTGCTCCAGGGGATGCTGCCATTTGAAGGAAGTGAAAAGCAAATCCCTTCTCAGAAAAAGATGGGGGTCTCTCCCAAGTAGAGACTGAATCCACATTGATTTTTCAGTAGGCAGTATCAGAACCTGCTAGGGACTTGGAATCTTATCCTGGAGAAAATAAGCACCTCTGAAAGGGAGAGAAGATGGCAGAGACGTTATTAGTCAGTCATTTGGAACTGAGCTGCTGACTTTTGCTTCTGGTTGAAGGACTCTCCAAGTAATTTGGAGCTCCCAACCATCTCTAGTTAATCACTTTTTAAAATTTAGTTAACAGTGTATGGCAAAGCATAACAGCTCACTGGGGTTTGACTTACTGAGACTGACTTTGCTATCCCGGGCCGGAGCAATTGGGACCCTTCTGATAAATGCTTATGAGCAGGAAGGCAGGTCCAGCGATGGTATGGGTCTTGAAGTGACTTGATGGATATGTACAGAGGCAGCCCTAGGAGAAGGAAACCCAGTAATTTGGAGTGAGCCCAGATAGGGATTTTGTGATTAAAATATAGAAAGGGTCACTGGCTGTGAGCCTGTGTAATGTTTTCTGTGGAATGAGAACCAGTTGACTGTGGCGCATTAAGGATGAAAGCTCTTTTAAAGTTTCTTTCGTTCTAATTCTCCCTCTGCTCTTCACCTCTTCCTCTCCCCCCACCCCAGGATCCAGCTAACACCATAAGGGGTCCCATTTGAGATGAATTCTTTCCCCTTTTTCCTTAGAATTTTCAAACCAGCAATAAACCTGACCTCTTCCTGGCCTTGAACTTTCAGTTGGGGGCACAAGTATCATACAGAATCAAGGAATGTGAAATTGGAAAGGACCTTTGAGGTCATATCTTCTAAGATTCTCATTGGAAACTGAGGCCCCTAGAAGTGAAGGGGCTTGGCTGGAGTCACGCAGCCAGTAATTGACAAAGCCAGGCCCAAGCCTCGGGGTCAGGTTTTCTGATGAGTTTCTGGTCTGGTTCACTGGAGATGCCAGGATAATGTGAATCTCAGACCTGAGCATCTAACCAGCTCGTGGTATTTGCTTAAGCCTTTACTGTTTTCTTTTTCTTTAGTTTGCTCTACAAAAGTTGGAGGAATTAGAGATTTGGAGAGAAGAACTCCAGAAGGAGGCCCATGCCCTCATAGATTTTTTCTGTGAAGACAAGGAAACTATGAAGTTGGATGAATGCCTTCAGATCTTTAGAGACTTTTGTACCAGATTTGATAAAGCTGTTAAGGTAAGTAGGATTGGAAGTTATCCTAACATTGAACAGCGTGGTTTTCCCCCTTTCTTTGATTTTTTTTTTCTTTCATTTTCCTAACCTGATCCTTTGCCTGGGGACAGGAAATCAGCTCAGCATTTCCCACTTTCAGGAATTTTTGAATTTAGTTAACAGTATATGGCAAAGAATACCAGCTCACTAGGGTTTGGCTTACTGAGAACTGACTCTGTCATCCCAGGCCAGAGGCCATTTGCATCATTGGGAAGCCAGTGGTCGGTTGCTTTTGTTTGATTGTTTGCTTTTAAACAAATACTTCAAAAGTCCATTTTTGGCTGAGTAAATGAATAAAGCTCATTTATGCCAACAGGGATCATTGGCAAAAGTCATCTTCAGGTAGGTCCTTAATGTCCATCCCACACAAGCATTCCCACCACCTCCACAAAGAGGGGTTTATTGGAGCATGCCTCTGCACCTGCACTTTTCTTTCTCATCTGACTCAAACTCCACCGCCAGTATCTGGAGTCCTCAAAGTCAGATCCATTCTGTCCTTTTTCTGTGTGCTGGTCTTTTTTTTTTTTTTATTAAGCTCTCAGAGAACACATTGGCTCTCCTAAAAGGAGGTCACATTCCCTGTCCTCTTAAAGCTCATGTCCTCATGTTAGAGGCCAGGCCCTGGAGCAAAAAAACCCTGATAGGGCCTGCTAATTGAGAAATAGTTTAAAAAAAAAAAAGAACCAGTGATCCTGTTAGAAAAGAAATCACCCATCTTTCATACTCCCATCCACTTCAGAGAAGATCAGAAGAAGAGGTATTCATTTATTTTTTCCTTCCCTCTAACTTAGACTAGGTCCAGTCTAGGACTGATCCAGTTTCTCCCAGGCCTAAGAAGAGCCTCCTGCAGTGAAATCAGAGGCACAGGCTTGCCCTCACTACACCTTCTCCGTCTCCTTCCAGCTCAGAGTATGCACTGTTTGTGGCCACGTTGACTCTCTCTTGTCCAAGCAGTGAGCTCAGCAGTAGGATTGAGGAAGCACCGGCATCGGCTTTTTCAAAGGCCCCCTATTCCCAGCTGGAATCCAATAGCTTTTTTTTTTTCCCCTTTAAATGAGGCCACCTGCTTGATAGTCTCAGCACAGCTGTCCTGGGAGTAGAGAGCCTGCCTCCACCCTGCCACAGCTGAACCAGGAGGAGGGAGGGAGGAGGGAGACGGAGCCAGAACTACAGTCCCTGCAGGAAGTGCTGGGCCACCTAAGGGGAGGGCCAAGGAGAACTAGAGAAGTTCAGCCAGAGGGCCCTGTGCTGAAGGGGAAGGGAAATTCCAATCATTGTCATAGTGGATTTTAAAGGGCTACTGATTAGTTTTTCTTGGTTATCAAGAGCCATGAATTTACAGGACAGAAATGGACTAAAAACTCATCCCTCTTTAGCGTGAAGTATTGCTGCTGGGGGTGCAGAGGGTATAGTTGCTTCGATAGTTTGCAAAGGGCTGGTGACTGACTCACCCTCCTAGTAAGAGGTAGGATGAGCGTGAGTGGGCACATTCCTGCAGAAGCAGAAGAGTGGGCCCAAAGAGGAAAGGTGCTTTTTTCTGTGGTGGAGTTTCTCTGTTGCATTCCATGAAGAGTATTACTTTATAAAGGAGCTTAAAAAAAAAAAAGAAACAAACTTAAGTGCACATTTAAAAAAAACAAATTTTTATAAGTATTTATCTCTCCCTCATCCCACATTGAACAATTTTTTTTTTTTGAATTAGGCAATCAGGGTTAAGTAACTTGCCCAAGGTCCCACAGCTAGTAAGTGTCAAGTCTCTGAGACCAGATTTGAACTCAGGTCCTCCTGATGCCAAGGCTAGAGTGTGCCACTGTGCCACCTAGCTGCCCCCAAACATTTTTTTTAAAAGAAAAAGAAGCTTAACAAATATGCATAATCCAGCAAAATTAATTCAGAAATGTCTATCTTATTTTATGTTGTAAGGCTTATCACCTCACTGGCAGGAGGTGGGAGGCATACTACATCTTCAGTCCTCTTCAGTCATGATACATGAAGTGCTTTGTAAACCTTAAAGCTTTATATGAACATTAGCTGTGAAGAAGGAACACAGGGTTAGGGTGTATGGGAGTCAAAATAATTGGCATTTAACTCAAGCAGGGATGAATGAGTGTCACATTCAGATATTAAGTTCTAGAAGCTGTAAACATGTCTACAATAGTCTAGATTTGGAATGAGGAAAGACCTGAGTTCAAATCCTGCTTTAGACATTTACTAGCTGGGTGACCCTGGGAAAGTCACATACCTTTCTTAACTTCAGTTACCTTGTCTGTAAATGGGAGTAATTATGTCACCTACTTGTCTGGACTATTGTGAGGATCAAATAAGATAATATTGATATTATTATTGTTATTCTTATCCTTCATGGGGTTTTTTCCTCTGTTCTGTAGGACAACAGGGACCGAGAAATGCAAGAGCTCCGCCAGCTACAGAAATTGAAGGGACTGGAAGAGAAGAGGCGTTCCTGGGCAGCTGGTGAGCTCGGGGGCTTTGGGAGGAGCAGCAGTGAGAATGATGTGGAGCTGTTGACAAAGAAGAGTCTGGAAGATGTTCTCCCCTTCCTTCATCAAAGGCCCATTAGCCCTTCCCACCGACCCCCCAACTCCCGCCGCTCCCGTCTTTCCCTGGGCCCCTCGGCAGATCGAGAGCTGCTCACTTTCCTGGAGACCTCCACAGGGGAGGACCCGAACAAATTCAACAGCCTTCCTAGGACCGGCACAAAGCAGTCGAGGCCTTCAGTAGCTTGGATGGAACCCACAGGGCCAAAGGACATTAACTCAAACCACTTGGGCTTCCACCAGGGGCCAGAGACTGAGAAGGACAGCAGTAACCCACCCCTGATTCAGCCCGGCCAGCTTCCCAGTCCGCGTCTAGAGAATTCTAATGCCATCCTTTACCGTACTCAGAACCATGCCAATGATAACAACTTAGAAAGAAACAGTGCGCCTCCGTTGTCCACCTTGACCATGGGGATTGAAGAGCGAGAACTGGTTCATGGCTTGATCCAATTTGACCTCCAGGAGCCAATGAAGCAAGAGGACCCACCAAGGTTTATCTTGGAGGACTCTAGCCCACTGGAGTCAGAATCACTGGATGATGCGAGCTTGCCATCCCTTACTGCTGCTGATGACATCCCGCTGCCCGTTGGCCAAGACTCTAAAGAAGTGACAGAAAGGGAAAATGGCGACTCCGCCCCAAAGGACATGGCAGCTAATGTTATAGCGTCTAGCAGTACAGTCTCTGCATCCACAGACACTAGTGAGTCTGAAAATAAAGAGGCCGGGATTATGCTCTGCATCTCAGACACCACTGACTGTTCCTTGACTTTGGATTGCTCAGAAGGAAATGACCCCAAAATGGGAAGCAGCAAATCAGAAGAGGGGAAGACAGTGAATGGCTCCAGGTCTTCTGGTACTGGTGACATGGAGGGGGAGACCAGGAGGAGCAGAGTTCCCTCCGTGCCAAATTCCAGTCCCACCAGGGAAGACTCTGCTCTCGCTGTTGGGAAGAGTGAGCCTGGCTACAAAGGTGGCCTGTCCAAGGACAAAGTAGTCAAAGGGAAAGAGGCAGCTGGACCAAAGAGGAACTCCCTGAAAGACACACCTGCAAGTGCCTCCAAAGTTGGGAGTGTGCGGCGTAGCCTGGGGCCTTCTTCCAAGCTGGTGCGGACCCTGAATGCCTCTGAAAATGAGAGCATGCGCAAGGTGGTTCCCATCTCCAAATCCAGTAGGGGTTCAGGAAGCTGGAAACGGCCTGAGGTACCAGCCCGGGTGACTCCTCGGGAGGCCGCCGGCAGCACAGATGCTCGAATATCCCGCCGAAGCTCCATCAGGGGCACTGCAGACACGTCCCCCCGAAGGCCTTCTGGTGTGGCGGTAGCAGCAGCTGTAGCAGCAGAAGAGCAGCGGCTGCAGAGAGGAAGTGTTACCTCCAGCAGCATCCGTTTGGGGAAGGACTGTCCCTTGCAGCGCAAGACCTCCCTCAAGAAACCCAGCGCCAAACCGATCAGGAATGTCCCCAAATCAAAGGCAGATGAAGCGAAGATCTGCCGTACAAACCCTCAGGAATCTGAGGATGCTGAGGAAGTGGCCGAGCCCCCCCCGCCCATCAGCATCCCTCGGCCCCCGCCCCCCATTCCAAGCTTTGCCCGGAACACGGTTGCCTCCTCTTCCAGGCGTTTGAAGACTGATTCGTCTCCTATTTCTAAGGTACCTGGTATTACCCGGGCAGCCTCTCAGAGGCAGCTGAGGATAAAGACAGCATCTGAAGACACCCAAACCAAGAATGGTGGTATCTTGAGGCGAACCAGCAGTGCAAGAACTGCCTCAAAGTGCCCAGAATCTGGCGAGAGCACCAGCGGTAAAGAGGAAACCTCTTTGAAAGGGAGAGGCACAGTGGAGAAATCTTCTCTAAAACGAAAGGATTCGAGTAGGACCACACTGGGAAAAATTCTGAATCCGTTATGGAAATGAGGAAGGTCTGTTCTCTTGAGACCACCACTCTGGGTTTGGGGGGATGTATGAACAGATTTTGGCAGTGGGCTGTCAACATCGGATGTCTTCATTCCGCATGACCCAGTACACGGGTTGACTTCAAAGTCTGTTCACTTTAAAGTCACTAAAGATATAACCTCCTCCAAGGACCAAGCACCCTGTCAGTACTCTGCTCTCCGTCCCGTGGTAAGAGAACAATATGAATGTATAGATTTAATGCTGCTGTGATGGAGCCGAGGGCCTGGTCCCCAACTGAGCTTTTGGTGCGGGTGCGTGGGAGCAAATGCTCCACCTCTCCAAAAAAAAAGAGAGAGAGAGGACTTTGACATATGAGATGATCTTCTTACATACCAAGTTAAAAAACTTTTGGCCAGTTTTTGTATGACAAAGACTTATTTTATAAGATGACATAAGTTAAATATTACCAATTTCCTTTTCTGAGTGAAATGCCTCCCAAGGAACAGTACAGGGGAAAAAAAATGACTTTAATATGAACATCTTTCTGTCTTCCTTTAATTTCGTATCTCTCTCAGGGTCCTTTTGCTGGCAATAGGACCTTTTGGCCTGCAAACCCCAAAGTTGACGTTTCATGGTTGGCTTCATCTCAACAAATTCACAGCATGGTTATAGCTCCATGTGCATGAGTCCAGGTGTGTGTGTGTGTGTGTGTGTGTGTGTATGTGTGAGAGAGAGAGAGAGAGAGAGAGAAGGAACATGTGGGTAGGGAAGAGGGAGAGAAATCTCTGCTGGACAGAAAGCCACTTCTCCCTGCGGGCTACATACAGTATATTATATTTAAAAAATGAGGTTGGTGGAAACAGACACTGACCTTTGGGCTGGCCTGGCCTCTTTGGGGTAAAGTCCAATGGCTTGTGTTCTGATGAATGGCAGCCACATATACAACTGCCACCTGGTTTTCTGGACTTCAGAAAGTACCCCGTGTTTAAAATGTTCTTAGATCCAAACCCAGCAGGGGTTAATAACGCAGTGCTAAGGATTAATTTGTTACTCTTCTACTCTCCCGCCCCCTTCCCCCATTTGTTCATTTGCTGTAAAATGATGTGAATGCTGCTACAGTTTGTGTAAACTCTGGTTAGAGAGACAGGGGAAAGTCTTTTGTTGTCCAGTGTTTCTTTTTCTGTGATTGCATGGAGAGATATTGTCTGTGACGTGGTGCTTTGCGAGTTAAGCATCTTCCTTTTGGTATGGTTTTTGAATCTTGAAAGAGGCCAAATCCAGATTTTAAAGAAAAATAAAAGCCAACTTTTTGATAGGCGAACATTGCTTCCAAAAGAATTTTTATCGGCAGGGACAAAAAGGGAGGGGGATAAAAATCAGGCTCCATATATAATGAAAGGTTTGGGCCTTAACCAGCTTTACCAAATGCCCTTTTCCTACTTCCCTTTGAGAGTAATTTATGTCACTAGGGACCTAAAGGTAATTCTCATTTTTTATTTTATTTTTTTAAAGTTGTCTTTTTATTTACTTACTAGTGAAATCTTATTTTCTATCCAACAGTGGCAAGTGTATTTCAGCCAAGTGCTGATCAGTTATTGACTTCACATGTTATTCTTTCCCTCCTTCAATGGAATGTGTTGTCAGCCAAAATGAATTTTATTACCTTTATACTTCCATAAACCAGCCAAGTGGGACAAGATGAACTTTGTGACTTAAGTAAGGTGACTGACCACCAGAAAAAAAAGGAAAACAAAAAGACAGTCCCACTGAAATCTCTCTCTTCCCTGGGGCCTGCTTTTAGGAACCAGCCCAGAGCATCTGAAAATGTGGGCCTTAATGAAAAACTAGATGGAAAGAATCCACTTCTAAAGGGAGATTTTGCTTGAAAATCTTATAAGCTGTCTGGGACTTCCTATGCATGGACTTCCTATGAAATGGGGTCTTATTCAGTCTTATCTGTCTTCTGTGTGTTCATCTGCACGAGCAGGTGGTTGATTTTTATTACCTTTTATTGGTAGTGAGCTTGGAAAAAAAAATAATTTAAGTCAATTCCAGAAAATGTAAATAAGTTTCTATATAAATTTGTGTAAGATGAACTGAATGTATTTAATGGACCATTTATACGTTCTTCAGCATCATGTAGTTTAATAAAGTTCCTGTTTATGGGAGTTGTATCTCATCCTCAGCCTTTTTATTTGGTGTGATTGGGCCACAGTATGTGCAGTTAGTTTTGGCAGAAAGGAAGACCAGAAGGTGGGGCAGATGGAGCTGGTTGACATGGTTTCCACAAAGGTGATACAGGGTATTTTTCTGCAGCACAAACCCAGGTTTCCCTAAGTATTTGTTGGGCCCCCTCCTTTGTAGCACCAGGAGTGGGAACCGGGCCAGAGTTGGGGGAACGCAGGCATTCATCTGAAATGAAAGACAGTCAGCGGAATGCTCAGCATTTCTTATATGTTCACGCTCTTCTGTGTTTTGGGGCCAAGCTCTGTAATCTCCGTGGGGCCAACAAGTCTGGATCTGCTACTGGGCGTCCTCATGTGTTCTGGCTTAGCTCCATGGTTGAGACATCGCAGCTCACCTCTCAGTCTGGCTCAAGAAGGAAATGCGGCTCAGTTTTCTCTCGTCTCCTCTCTTAGGTGTGGAGCTGTCTTGATGTCAGAGCTTAGTCCTCAATTACATCTTTATTTTATTTTATTTTATTTTTTAATTAATGAAGGTCCTTAAATGGGAAATCAAAAGGAAGGTGCTTTTCCCGCAAGATCGTAGAACTAAGGCTGGAAGGGATGTTTGAGGTTATCTGGTACAACTCTTTCTTTCTTCTTTATTAGTTTATTTTTAGTTTTCAACAATAACTTCCATACACCTTTGAGTTTTAAATTTTTCTCCCCGTCCCTCCACACCTCCCTCCTCAAGATGGCACGCAATCTGATATAGGCTCTACATATACATTCCTATTAAACATATTTTCACGTTAGTCATGTTGTAAGGAAGAATTAGAACCAATAGGAGGAACCACAAGAAAGAGGAAACAAAACAAAAAAGAAGAAAAAAGAGCAAATAGTATGCTTCAATCTTCATTCAAACTCCACAGTTCTTTCTCTGGATGTGGATAGCATTTTCTATCATGAGACTTTTGGAGGTCCTTGCATTGCTGAGAAGGGCTAGTTAGTCATCATATTATGTGGCTATTACTGTGTAGAGTGTTCTCCTGGTTCTGCTCACTTCACTCAACATCAGTCCATACAAGTCTTTCCAGGATTTTCTGAAGTCTGCTTGCTCGTCATTTCTTATAGTACAATAGTATTCCATTACATTCATATACCACAACTTGTTCAGCCATTCCCCAGTTGATGAGCATCCCCTCAATTTCCAATTCTTGGCCACCACAGAAAGAGCTGCTATAAATATTTTTGTACATGTGGGTCCTTTTCCCATTTGTATAATCTCTTTGGGATACAGCCCTAGAAGTACTATTGCTGGGTCAAAGGGTATGCACATTTTTATAACCCTTTGGGCATAGTTCTCAATTGCTCTCCAGAATGGTTGCATCAACAACTCTTTCATTTTCAGATGAGAAGACTGAGATTCAGACTGGTTAAGTGACTTGCCTGATGTTACATGGGTAGTAAGTGGCCAAGCCAATATTAAAACTTGGGTCCTGGGATCCCTCATTTACTGTGCCCTCCTCAGCCTCTGGTCCCAAAGCTCAGGAAAATGGGGCCTGCTGCTGCAGTGTTCTGAAAACTTGAGACCCAGATTTTTCCCTTCATGTATTTATACTTCATCTCTGCCTGCTGACCCTCAGATGCTTCGATTCCAGCTGTGGTGGTGGGGTTATGGATGCAAACTGCAAATACCTATATACCTTTACAATCATTTTCACAAGGAGGCTGCTTTCTAGACCTCTGTTTAGAGGAGATGGGTGCCTGACAATGCCAATGAAGGGATTTGTGTGCCCTAGGCAAAGTTTGAAGTTTTTTCCTCCTTGCTTCCCCTTTGAAAACGGTGCCCTTGGTGATTTACCATCTACCAGGAAATAACTGATGCAATTTAGGATTTCATTTGGAAGACCTTAGAGATCATCTATCTTAACCCCATTTTTGCAGATGGAGAAACAGGTCCAGACAAGGGAAATAACTTGCTTGTGATACACACACACAGCTAGTAAGTAGAAGAGCTAGGATTTGAATCTAGGACTTCTACCTATAATAATAATAATAATAATGATAATAATAACAATAACTAATAACTAACATTTACATAGCACCTGCTATGTGCCAGGCACAACGCTAAGCATTGCAAAGTATCTCATGTGATCCTTACAACAACCCTGGGAGGTGGGTGTTATTGTTACCCCCGTTTCACAGATGAGAAAACTGAGGTAAATAGAGGTTAAGTGACTTGCCCAGGGTCACACAGCTAGTAAGTGTCTGAGGCCATATTTGAACTCAGGTTTTTTTTTTTTTTTTTTTTTTTTTTTTACTCCAAAGGCAGCACTCTAGCCACTGCATTACATAGCTGTCCAGATCTAGTGTTCTTTTTAGTGTGCTACTCTTCCTCCCACCTCCTCCCTCTAGAATGATGATCTCTGAAGGGAGACTCTAGAGCAACCTAGTCTCTTGTGCCCTGCTCTTGGTCTACCCAAGGTCGGTTACTTTAGAAACTGTTCTGGGGCTTAGGAAGGGCTTGGATTGGTCTCTGATTATACAAAATATGAAGAGGTTGGGGCAATAGGACCCAAACTTGGTTTATCACAAAATACCTACACCTATGGAGAAAGAAATTTTCTGGAATTAAAGTCATGTGCATTTACTAAGAAGTTTTTAAAGTTTATCATCATAGTAGTCAATTGTCTACTCACCCTAACTGAATCTAGTCCTGAGTGATGCCATGTCTTCTGCACAATCCATAGTTGCCTTATAAGTTATGTTGAATGGACCTAGAAGAACTACATTTTCCTGAGGTTATGGAGGTAAAGCTATGATGATGGAGCTATATAGCCCAAAACTATAATTTCACTGGGGTAGGACATTGAAGGTGGAAACTTGCATTGCAATGCAGATCAAGAACATATGTGTAACTTAAGAGGCTTGCTTGGATACTAAAAGTTTAAGTGACTTCCCAAGGTCACTCTAGGTGTCTGTGTCAGAGTTAGAATTTGAACTTAGGCTTTCCTGACTCCAAGCTCAGCTCTCTATCCACTATGCCATGCTGCACCCCTCCTTTTTAATTACTGAGAATTCAATGTGCTTGATTATATACATACATATATACATATACATATATATACATATTTAAATTTTTCAACAAACAAGCATTTGTTTTCTCTTCCACCTCCCACACCATTGGAAAAAAGAGAAACAAAATTCTTGTTAACAAATATTCACAGTCCAGCAAAACAAATTCCCACAATGGTCATGTCCAAAAATGTATAGCTCTTCCTGCACCTTGAGTCTATCATTCTGTCAGGAGGTGGGTGTGTGTTTGATAAATTATCAAACAAGTAGATCTTTTAGATTTGTAACACCAATCCATGTGGCATAGAATACAACATTTCTCTTCATCATTTTGTGTTTCTATGGAACTTTCCATTGTGCTCTTTGCTTTTTCATCATATTTCTATATGATAGGGGAAGAGAATGAGCATTTATTAATCACCTGTTATGTGCTAGGCACTGTGCTAACAAGCACTTTACAAATATTTGATCCTCACAACAACTCTGGAAAGTAGGTGCTATTATTATCACTCCCATTTTACCTTTGAGGAAACTGAGGCAGACTTGATTAAACACACAAAAATGGTGCTTCCCAGTGGATAATAGTTCATTTCTATAAAGTTCTCAAAGTGCCTTCCCAATAGTAATTCAACAGTAGAATAAGCATTACGATTACAAGTGACTGAGAAGTCAGCCAACTTGTCCTCGGTCACACAGTCAGTGTCAGAGAAGATTCAAACTTAGATCTCCTGATTCCCAAGTTCAGCATTTTTTCCACTACTAGAAAAGTACAAGGTGCCAGTTATGTATTCCATCAGTAAGCACCACTGACCGTAAATATAAGCAAAATGAGATACTACCAGGACACAGATCTACCAAATCTCACTTGTTCCTTACTTAGGGGATGTGCAGTGGTAGGTGGTGGCTTGGTCCTACTGAGTGGTAGAGTTGGAGATGTAACAAAGACTGGTCTAGATCAGCATGTCTTAAACTGTGGGTTGGGACCCAAATGGTGTAGTGAAAAATTTGGCAACAGTAAAAGGTTTCTAAACATACAACGACCAAAAATTAATTCAAAATCAAATGCATAGTGGATCTAACGTGTTTCTGGCAGTACTGGCCCATGTGGTATCATGCAACTTCACCACAGCCTTGGTTCTGAACACAAAGCACGCACACTTTGTGCTGCTTGTGCCCTCAGACCATACAATGCAAAGGAACGCTGCCAAAACAAGAAAAGGGGTTGTGAGTGGAAAAAGTCTAAGAAGTCCTGGTCTGGATAGCAAAGACTAATCTCTCCCTTGAAGTTGAGACCATTTCATTTAAAACATTTCCTAGCGGGGGAAGTCTACTATATGCTGGGCACTGTGCTAGCTAATATTTTAAAATACCATCTCATTTGATCCTCACAACAACTCTGTGAAGTAAATGCTATTAACATCTTCATTTTATAGTTGAGGAAACTGAGGCAGAGGTTAAGTGACTTGCCTGGAGTTGCACAACTAGTATCTGAGGCTAAGGTTGAATTTGAGTCTTCCTGACTCTAAATCCAGTGCTCTATTTACTGCGCTACTAGCTGCTTCACCAGGGAGGCTCCTGGATTACTTTCTTTCCTTTTCTTAGGCTTTTGAAAAAAAATTTTTTGGTGTGTTTTTTTGTTGTTTCTTTTTTTGTTTTAGGCAATTGGGGTTAAGTGACTTGCCCAGGGTCACACAGCTAGTAAGTGTCAAGTGTTTGGTCTGAGGCTGGATTTGAACTCAGGTCCTCCTGACTTCAGGGCCGGTGCTCCATCCTCTATGCCACCTAGCTGCCCCTTGAAAATGTTTTTAAAGTTTTATTAATGCCTTTTATTTGCCACTCATTTCCCTATAAATCATAATCCCTTATTCAACCCTCCTTTGTAACAAAGAGAATTAAGCCAAATCAATATTCCAGTGACCATGGCCATGTTGTGTCTAAC